TGGTTTCGAAGTTGTCTGAATAGGTCGACCATCTGAAAACCATCCCGGAGATCGTTCGTACGAAGGAAACGTAAACTGAAAATTTTGACATACATCAACTTCCCTAGCGCTGAACAATCTGCGCAAAATGACGTCGATGAGAATGATTGTTCCGGTGCGACCAATTCCAGCCGAGCAGTGCATAACTATAGGTCCATTGTCCAGCTTGTCACCCTAAAATAGAAGCCTGGCCTCAGGGGATCCTGGTCCCTGTACTCTTTTCGATTAATACGAGCTCAACTTATGAGCTCTGAGGCAAATAGGCCACAGCAATTGCAAAGACGTCGCATTTAAACTGACATCTTTGAGGTTCTGATGTAGATGTGAGGCACTACTAGTCATCGGTTAGGGCATGTCGGATGAGGTAAGTGGGTGAGTGGATTTGGCGCGGCTACAGATAGTTTTCTACCAGTTGTGGTCGTCTGCCAGCTTCCACTGTTTATGGAAAAGAGGCTGGCGCCGCCCCAAAGCCAGCTCCCTCTCCCCTCCCCCACCATATGGAACGCCACAGCAAACAGGTCTGTATCTCCACGTAGGGTTGAGGTAAGCACGGTCCTGTAAGTCTAAGGCTAATTGTTGGGTGGTGCACCTCAACTCTTCGACTGCTGATAATCGCGAATAGGCCTGAAAACCTGTCTCTGTAAGCCAACTTATCCCAAGCGTCTTTCGGGAGACGTTGCGGCGACGCGCATGAAGTAAATAGCATTTCCTAGTCAGCTGGCTCGCCATACTGTACCAGCTCCACTTTAGATCGGGTCCTGGTGCGAATGCCGCGCATGTGGCACCGCTTGCAATATCGCCTTCACCGAGTCGTCGCAGCGCGGACCTCCCCACCGAAAATTGATCATCCCCACTTTTTCCACGTACATTGACTTGCCGTATAAGTCGCAGCACATGTCGGCCGCTCATTGGAAGTCCACGGTCTGGCCAACTTGTCATGTGCAGCACCTGTAACACTAAGTTACGGAGCTTCCAAGAAAAATGGAAGATAACCCATCCGAAACAAAATTTTTGTCACACCTTCACTATATTAGAGTTAGAACAGCCTTCCGGTAATACTTCAACAGTGTATATCAAAAATCTCCCTTCAGATTCCACCTGAAATAATTCATTGGTTGTTATGTGATGTAGTATTGCCAGAGCTATATCAGTCAAACCTTTTTTTATGACAAACATTTCTTCCGAATCTATAAAGCGCTCCCGCTGCAAGCGGCCTAATATTGACGTCGAATTTAATTTTTGCCATCCTCAGATGGTCTCTGAAAAGCAGTTACAAGTACTAGCTTATCAAACAACGTGGACAAGGATAAAATCCCCCAAGAGGAAGTAGGATTACCACGCTCTGGCAAAACGCAGAATTCCAACGACCGCTGGCGGGGCTACATAGCGCCTTTTTTAAGGAAGGTAGCCACTTATAAGAGCCTGTCAAGCTACATCTACCGATCCCGAACTCCACCACGCACCCCCCCACAAATGGACGTACTCGCTCCTGATGCTCTAATTGATTCATTTGCCAGGCAAACTATGAAGAGAAGGGATTGATATGAAGCGGCCGTGAATATATGAGTACATATATGGAGCCATACCTTCGGTAGCGGTTATTGACAAAGACCAGCCGGCTTCGCCGGCTGACTCCGGCGCGCCTCCTAGGATACTGCGCGGCTCCGCCGCGCTTTCCTTCTTCCACACATTTCATTAGCCGCCTAGTATCAGGCTCTTCTTTTACCCGAACAGGTGGTCAACATTCTTTGACCAATAGCATCATACCTGCTCCTTTCAACACTATTACGGTGTATGGAGTGGTGGTAAGGAGCGTTGATCAAGTGGACAGATGAGAGAAAAACCGGGTATTAGTCGAGCATTTGATCGTACGAATGTAGGTAGGCGCGATAGAGCCACACCCCAAAGCCGGGCCGTATCACGCAGAGGTTCGAAGTGCCTGGAGTGCTCTGGAACCGCTTGAAGAATTTTTTGAGGCTGGCCCCGCTCACCTTGACTCACGCTCCACACACAACAGCATTCGGTCGCCTTAAAGCGTCTTGCTTTGGAATGCACTCCCGCATTCAGCAGTGGAACGCGTTAAATGGCCCTCAGGTTGTTGATGGAATAATTGTGGTAAGCGTGATTAAGTGAATTGATGCTGTTCATAACATCTCTGTAAACAAACCCCATGCATTTGGAATAGAGCTAGCTTACCGGTCGTACATGATGTCGTTACTAATAAGGCAGAGGAATGAGTTCTGTTGGAATCATTGAGATCGTTATACTTGAGTCATATCGATCGGATTGTTGTTGTGAGCGGTGAAGCGGATTTTCCCATGTTACCTTGTCACTTTCAGCTCCTATCACTTCCGTCCCGCCAATAACACTCCCGTCCCGTATCACTATCATATCACCCTGTGTCGCCTCTCGGATCCGAGGTCCCACTGTTGCTGTAACCTGCGTTACGAATTTGATGACCCTTCCCTTACGAAGCCGCTTATCGTATCTTATCTACTGTTATCACTTTCTGTCACCCGCCAATATGTTCCCGTCCCACACCCTATATCACCTCACGTATCTGAAGGTCCCCACTGTTGCTGTAACCTGCGTTACGAATTTGATGACCCTTCCCTTACGAAGCCGCTTATCTTATCTTATCAACTGTTATCACTTTCTGTCGCCCGCCAATGATGCTCCCGTCCCACACCCTTATATTACCTCTCGGCCTTCTAATGCCCATTATCAGATCTTATCAGCTGATATCACATCCTGTCACCTACCAATAATGTTTTCGTCCCACCCCCTTCACTGCTCGGAACCAACGTCCCACTGTTGCTGCCACCTGCGTTATGGATATGGTGACCTCCCCCTTCTAACGCCTCTTATCGTATCTTATCAGCTGATATCACTTCCTGTCACCCACCAATTGTGTTCCCGTCACACCGCCTACATCACTTCTTGAAATCAATGTCTCACTGTTACTGGGACCGGCGCTATGAATTTCGTGACAGACAGACAGACGCACACACAAACAGACAAACAACACACACTTACAGACATACTTAGCGGATTATATATAGTAGGGATGCCTTACCGGGAAACTCGTCCAAATCGATTTACAAGTCGGAGGCTTTTTTTCGCAGGATTTTGACCGTTTCACTCCGTTCTTTCGCCATTTCCCCACTATATAGCGCCCTACTAGCATTTTTAGTCGAGCACCAAATCATCGTGCCAACTGCCTTCTAATTAGTTTTCCTTTTTCCTGTCATCCAAGAAGGATGATGCCCTTTGTAATGTGCTATTTCTTCTGAGAACGGCACTACAGTACCAGAACTCCATTTGGCACCCAAAGGCCAAATTTTGCCCTATCCTCCGAAAATAGTCGTTCCCATGCGCGAGATGGGTGGGCCCCAGATGCAGTGGCGTGTCTGTGGTGCGTGTCACTTTTCCATGGTCAAAAGTGTATTGGAACGTACTGCTGTCGCGCGGTTCGCGACAACGTGGCCGGGGTCCCGTGCGCCTGGGCTCTGGCGCGCTACACGGGCAAAGCCGCGACGCGACCGCCGAAGGCCGCGCCGCCGCCCCGCCCCCAGTGGAGCCCTTATAAGGGCTGCTGCGAGCCAGTCGGTGTGCTTCTCTCCCTCCGGGAGGAGAGATCCACCGGGCACCCGCTCTGCCGCCATGATGCCGGACGGGTTCTGCAGGGTGCTTGCACTCTGTACAGCAGTGTGGTCGGGCACACTGCTCCGTCTGGCGGAGCTCTGGCTCAGGCCCGTGCCTGCTATGACCGAAGGCACGGCCGGCTGCGGGTTGCAGCTTGTAGCCGCAGGGTGCCATTTGCCGCTAGGATCGCTGAACGTTGGAGGATGGATGGTCAGTCCAGCTACGGCAGGATATGAGGACAGGTTGGAAGATGGTTACCGCTAGCACGTGAGTTAATAAATATGAAGTTTATTTATCTTGTAATGTTTGTAATAGGTGGGACTTGGGAGCGACCGGGCAGATGGGTCCGCAAGGGGCTGGTCGGTTGTAGGTACAGGTTGTTGGTTGTTATGTTTCTGTTATTCGGCTGTTGCATGCCTCAGGGCCAGGTGAGCCAGGTAGGCATGTAACTGGACCGGTTACGGCAGGCTGTAACAGTGGTAGGGGCCGGCTGACCCGGGGGTCCAGGACGGACTTGGGGGAGGTCGGACCCACCACGGGGACATGCCTGTGCATGGGCTGCCGTCCCCTGCAGCCTGCCGCGGGCTTAAGCCCGGGTGGTCCCCCGGGGAACGGGGGCTATATCGTGCGGGAAAGCGGTATAGTCTCCGGGGAACTGTGAGACTGAGGTGGGCTAATGGTGGGTAAGCGGACCCTCGATACACCGATGCTCGTCGTGGGAGAGGACTAGTAGGGGCGGTCTCGTCTCTGGAACTGCGACACTGCAATGTGATAAAACGTCGGGTGCCGTCTCTTATACCCGCTCCGCGCCGATCTCAAATGTGCACCACTTGCGTCGTAGCAAGATTCCGCAGCGAAGCACCACCCAAGCAGCTAGGAGAACAATGCCCCGTGAAGGAATCAGATTAACAAGGGGGTACGGCCAGATTGATAGCGCGCTTGGATATGTTTAGGCGTGTGGCTGGGCACAGCCAAATGCGCATTAGCGCGAGCGAAGTCGGGGGTGGCACCCAGTGTACTCGAAATCCCTGAGATCGGGTAGGCGTGGCTGCGTACTTGATTTAAAATGGCGGCGGCCCAGGTTTTCGTGAGATATTGTCATTTTGGAGCAGTCGTAATCATGTCTACATCTAACACAGAACAAGATAGCAGTTGTTTCAAATGAAATATCCCACGAGAAACCTGTCCTACACCATGCTCAAAGGCTACGCCTACTCCGTCTCAGGGATAAAGAGTGTACCACTAACACCCAGCCTCGTTTCCGTGTGGCCACTCTCTTGAGTGGGAATTTTTTCGAAAAAGGCCCTATATGGGCCGTTTGACTTTTGCCCATACCGCACCGTTCCTGTGATATTTTTTCGACTGCGGCAACGACATCGACCGTAACACATTAACCACCGATTTCGTCCGATTACACCCTTTCCGCGCCTTCTGCTCATACGAATGCAATCGATTCGCTAGAGGGGGGTGGGCTTCACCACTAGTTGAGTTACTTGTTATCTCGGTATCCCTAATTGAGGCCCACCACCCACATTGTCTGGGTCGTTTGAAACAATTTTCCAAACATACCCTTGTGAGATTCACAATATTAGGACATCCTTCCTGGAAGACCATCCGCCAAAAGTCTTCAATGGTGTTGTCGAGAGGTGCCTAGGAACAAAGAATAAGTGAAGTTGAAAACGATTGGAGCTCCTGGCAGCAAAAGTACCTGGGTTGCAATGAATACTTTGTCGTGTCCGTCAAATTTCACCCAGTTCGCATGGATGTAGTCGGTACTGGGTGGTACATCCAGTGTTAACCGAACTCTTGTTTCATCCAAGCAAACCACATCCTTGAATAGAGGGAATGCTCACATAGCGTTGAAGAATCCGTAGGTCCTATAGGCGTTTTCGCAAACGCTGGACGTGGTGGGGTAAGGTTTGGCGCGGCGCCAGCACGTCTTCTACCAACTGCTTCCTCTTGCCCGCTTCTACAATTGGAGAAGAGCGGTTGGCGTCGCCTCAAACCCAGCCTCCTGATACGGCTCAGCGTTCCCAGCGCAAACGATGCACCCTATTTTTTGACACATACCAAATATCTGTTTTTGTCGGGATTTGCCTCGAAAGCAGTAAACTTGTACAAGTAATCCGGAGCTCTATATGCAGCTAGTTGCTCTCTAAACTGCCTTCTCAAGCCGTCAACACCTGCAATGGTTGAGAATAGTGTAGTTTTAGGTGAAGTTGAAAGTTCACAGAAAGGCTATAATAACCCCTTTTGCCGTACCCACTGCATATCTGGGCCACATTTTGAAAGATACCCTTGTTGCTCGTTCATGAATTCAAATGCACGCTTCTCGTGTTCAGACGCGTTCCTTGGACAAGGCAGTCCTGTCCTCCTTATATACGAAGGATGTAGCTCATTCGCAGCTCGTAAATGCGTGAGAAAGGCGATGCCCCGCCCAGTGCTCAACGCAATGCCCAACTTTGGTCTGTGAAGGCTTCCTGGTGGTGCGGTTGTTACTAGCCTTCCCATCTCGATTGCCGAAGATGAGGAAGGAACTGATACAGAGGAACGAACTCCTTCCATCCACGCCCACTCTTCGCCTTATGCACGTACAAGCTCGGTTCGGCAAGGGGTATTTCGCATGATTTTTATCCACTTTTTCTCTTCACTACTGAATCACTTACAACATTGCCATGGTGTTCGAGCTGCACTACTCATACTTTTTTGACGCGATACGTGTCTTCGAGTTGGGCGACTGTAGATGGGTACGTGACAAAAGAATCGTAATTTGCCGCCCTAGTGGCGACGTCGCGCCCGCTAATGACGACGATTTTAGGTGATGTTGATCGAAAAGTAGACAATTTATGACCAAAAATAGGCATAAGTGTCCACCATGTCCTTGTCTACATGAAATCCGATGCTCCAATCGAAAGGGTAGTGCAAATCAAGGAAACGTCGCGCCCATTGCGCGCGCGACGAAGCGGCAATTTACGATCCTCTTGCCCGTCCCCCGTAGATGCGAGCGGGAAACTCGTCCAAACCCGCTCCGTCTTTGACTTTTGAAAGCTTCCCCCATTTTTTCTTTATGCTCTCAGCACCCCGACTAAGAACTTAGACCGACAACCTCATTATTGCACTTTCTAATCCTCTCAGTGAAAAGAAAGAGTGTGTATATGAATATGCGGCGTGCAAGTATTTTCACGGATTTCCATTAAAGACACATAGTACGCTCATACACATTGAGGGTGTATGAGACTATCAGCCCCCCAGATGTCGATGTGTCGTGGTCCCCCCGCCCAAACATGCCCAGGAATGGAGATACAGGGCCGTGAAACACGCTAATTCTTCCATGCTCCGCCCACTGCGCAGATTCCCGCCGTTCATAACATCCGTTGCAAGCGCGCCTGTCGCGTGCGGCTCCTTGGCACTTTGCCAAGTCCTTTAATTGCGCTCTCAAATACAAGTAAAACGCAATTTCCTGATGCGGATAACATTGGAGGTGCTACAAAATAAGAGCAGAAGATGATGACGAGGGTCAGAACCTAAAAGCAACTGTGCCACTTCTGCAACATCCCTCGGAGGCCACGTATTTCCACGAAACATGAAAATAAAAACGGCATACTCGTTAGTTTAATAAAGCAAAAGGCAATTTCCTGATGCGAATAAAATTTTAGGTGTTGCTCATGCTTCAAAATCCATGTACAAGGAGATGAAGATGACACAGGCTAGAAATGAAGCACAACGATGTAAATGTAAACAAAACAAAAATGAAAAAATCAAGGAAAGGCAAATTAGATAAACTGGCCTGTAAATTTCTACGATCCGGCGCCAAAGCCATAGAAATACTTAGAACAAACGAGTGGGACGCTTGGGCTGTTTTTATTTTCATGTTTTGTGGGAATGCGCGGCCCTTGATGGATACTGCAGATGCAGCCGAGTTGCTCTTGAGTTCTGGCCCTTGTCATCATCTTCTGCTCTTATTTTGTAGCACCTCCAATGTTATCCGCATCAGGAAATTGCGTTTTACTTGTTTGAGAGCGCAATTAAAGGACTTGGCAAAGTGCCAAGGAGCCGCACGCGACAGGCGCGCTTGCAACGGATGTTATGAACGGCGGGAATCTGCGCCGTAAAAAGGCAGTGGGCGGAGCATGGAAGAATTAGCGTGTTTCACGGCCCTGTATCTCCATTCCTGGGCATGTTTGGGCGGGGGGACCACGACACATCGACATCTGGGGGCTGATAGTCTCATACACCCTCAATGTGTTGAGCGTACTATGTGTCTTTAAGAACATACCCAGGCTGGTCATGGTGTCGACATACATATCGATGATCCTTTCGACATCGCTTCGCCATACCCACTTCTTTCTTTGCCTGTGGCTTTGGGTTGCTGGCTGCTTAATTTACATAACATCAAGTTAAAGCATTCCTCAGCATGCTTATGGTTAGTTAGCCAGTTCGGCCTGGTGGGGCAACAAATGAAACTCCGCAAAGCTTGTATAGGCCAACTTGTGAATACCTTGTAATTCCTTTCTCTTGGCTTCACATGAGTTTAAAGGTCTTATCGAAGTGAAATTTGTTAGTTATGATGAACCACCCACAGGAAACAGTGGAAGTGCAAAAACGCTGTCCCCCTCCCCCCCTGCTTCGCCCCTACGAATCAGACATCTTTGAAACGTCGTTTAACTTTGTCATTACTTATGGCTAGTAAGGAGTTAGTTGCAATTACGCTTGTAGCCTTTGTCATAGCAGCGACCTATGAGTCTGAGGGAGAAGGGAGCTCTGGGTGAGCGAGCAACCTCGCACATTCCATTTTGTTACGAATGATAAGTGATTCATCCATGATGGCGAGGCCCGCCCCCTTCCTCTCCACGATGCCTCTAGTAGGCTCATAGCACCCAAAATTCTTTCTACTGTCACGAAGAAGATATGCACTTTTCTATTTAACCGCTGCTGGAAAGCTGTCGTCTGCACTCTGTAGCACAGTATCACCAGATCTCACATTATGCCCTGTCAGTACCTTTTCTCGCACCACGCCCATTCAAAGACAATTCCAGCGATCAAGTGTTACGAGTAGCAGGCGCTTAATCATAGCCGGCGTCTTGACAAGTTTCGCCGGATGTCAGACAAGATCAATCAGCAGGATTCGTAGTGCAACCAGTTGCCGGCAAGAGCATAGGAAATTGCCCTACGACGCTCCAGGCAACACTATGTACACACGCGATTCCGTTTGCTAGCCGTTGTCTTACAGAGTTACAGTATGCGGTTGCACCGGTTGCAAAATTCTGAGTGAAGAAAGTGACTACAGTCCTCATCATTGCGGACTGTCGGAGGGCGGCTGTCGACGCGGTCCAAATGGAGCGCTGCTCTACCAATGGCGATCGGGTAAAGATCGATTTAGGGAGGGAGCAACCAATGATGGAAACGCCGCAGGTGCGAGCCGCTGATTGCGACCCGACAATTGCGGTGATGTAAAGTGCTAATGCCGTTTGGACTCCAGCAACTTCGGCACCGAGCTCATTTTTAAATTGCCTAAGTTACCAAATCCGCTAAAAACTTGTATGTAGGGGTAGTTTAACATCCTGATTACGAATATGACATTCACTCTTGCCGCTGGCGCTAATGGATGACACTACGATTACCTGCGCTCCGCTAAGGCTGAGCCCAAGAGGTAATCGTAGTGTCATCCCTTGGCGCCAGCGCCAAGAATGAGTGTCATAATTGTAATCAGGATGGTAAATAACCCTTGTGTACATATTTTGTTTGGCGACTTAGGTAATTTAAAAATGAGCTCGGTGCCGAAGTTGCTGGAGTCCAAACGGCATTAGCCAGTAAAGTGTATCTTCGCGATGCAGCAGCGATGCCAAATCAGCCATTTCGCCTGATCACTTGTTCTTGGAGTGTCTCAACACCCATCGATCTAGGGCACATGAGAGGAAATCCACGTTGCTGTGAATTGCAGGAACCGCCGAGTATTCTCTAACCAGTTGACTCGACATACTGCAGCGTTTTCTCATTAATACCTGTACCTCATGCAAGTACGTTAATAGAAAGATGACGTGTCTTTGACGTCGCCTAACACGTTAATGACGTGCCTTTGGACTCGTTTGGCAAGGTTCCACGACAGGCTTTCTCGTCATTAACGTGTTATGCGACGCAATGAAATGCCATACCTTTTCACGCTTTGAACAGTTAAGGCTGCGTTTATACTTTGCGGCAGCGTAGCGTAGCGCTTCCAGCGTACGCCAGCGGCAGTGCCGGGGAGAGGATGCATATCGATCTAGCGTTCCCAGCGTCACCAGCGTTTCTCCAGCGTTTCACCAGCGTTTTGCTAGCGTTTGCAGCGGCAGGGGAGTAGAGACTATGGGAGAGCTGGAGGGTACAAAACACATCGATTGCGCGTCTCTCACTCGCCCTCAGTCTCTACAATACACATCGATTCCGCGTCTCTGACGGCCACATAGTCTCTACAATACACGTCGATTCCGCGTCTCTGACGGCCACATAGTCTCTACAATACACGTCGATTCCGCGTCTCTGACGGCCACATAGTCTCTACAATACACATCGATTCCGCGTCTCTGACGGCCACATAGTCTCTACAATACACGTCGATTCCGCGTCTCTTACGGCCACATAGTCTCTACTCCCTGCCGCTGCAAACGCTAGCAAAACGCTGGTGAAACGCTGGCGTACGCTAGCGTACGCTAGCGTGACGCTGGTGACGCTGGGAACGCTAGATCGATATGCATCCTCTCCGGCACTGCCGCTGGCGTACGCTGGAAGCGCTACGCTGCGCTACGCTACGCTACGCTGCCGCAAAGTATAAACGCAGCCTAACGGCCACACGCACATATCCGCACCCAACAACGTTTTGGTGCGAATGCCGCGCACGTGACATCACTTGTAACGCCTCTTTCACCACGTCGCCGCAACGTAGACCTCCCTTACCATGCCATAATCGACCGATCCAGACGAAGAAACCGGTGCAAAGAAACCAGTTCTCGCTTCAAGGCTACGAGGAATGAATGATAGCGAATTTGATACTCGAAATGGTTATCGTGAGTAGGACTCATTTTGACGGCTTCGCTAACGTTTTACTCATTTTGACGGCCTGGCTAACATTAAGGTGGTTCATCTGGGCAGTGTGCTAGACCTGACTGAAGCTGGAGATCCCACCAGCACTTGGAGTTGAGGGAGAAATCTCCCGCCATCGATTGGCGCGGCTGCTGTACCCAGAGCCAGGAGGATTCCAAACAACGGCAGTTCGTTTTCAGGGGTTGTAAAATAGCATGCGATAAAAGC